AATTAAAGTGGATGCCAACTGAAATCCTTGGTGGGTAGTCACGCTATCTGAGGAATCGACAAAAGTAAGAAACTGTGAACCATCGAACTACGACCTGGATCAAATCAGTCAATAGAATAGTAATAGAGACAAACGAATTTACCTGAACCCATGAGAAAATTTCAACACAGGCGCTAACTTGAAGTAGCTAATTTCGCAGCCTAGTTGTATCAAAAAAGCAATGAAGTAAAACCAGAAAGAGACGAAATAAATATAGACTTCCTTACCAAATTTGGTGTAGTCTAGGATTATAGTTAGTTCATGAGACATTGAAGGAAAAAACGGTACAATTGATTCCATAGCCAAAAATTTTCGTTAATTATAAACTTACCCAGTTTTACATGGATGTAGTTCTAATGTGTTGCCTGAACATTTTCCTAAACCTGTACTTTCATCAACTGGTACACGACATTTTCGCTTACGTCTTCTCCATCCCTGACCACCACAAGCAGGAGCAGAACACGTTGTCCAGGATCCCCAAGGAAGCCTTCAAAACAATACAGATGGAATTTAATTGGAATGTCTTCCGAAAACTGTAGATAATTTCTCTACGCTATGCAGTTTTACACTGGAAGCTTGTTCGTTGGTGATGACAACATAAATCTCTCATATGCATATACCTATTATTTTCACAATCTGGTTAACATTAACTTTCCTAGTAAAGCTTTACTAGCCATTTAATTAATTACTGTCAAATACAACTTGAAGATTATATGTTACAGTTTTTGAATGTTGCTTCTTTCAAATGAATGTCTGACACTGGTATTTAAACAAAATGAAACTTAGACTTTAGACGATGCACGCGGCGCTTATTAATTTCAAAGTTATTGGACCTCCCAATGGCTTCGAAAATGTTTCCAGACATAAAAGCAGAACCTTGAATCTAAGTTCATCGGCTCAAGTCATAACACTCCACGGAGCATGCAAGGAATAAGTGGTTAACAAGGTGACAATTTTAAAGTAGATACAAGTGTACGGGAATAAAAGGAGTTTGAAAATCAATACTAGTGAAAATATCAAAGCATGAATGGGTTTGAACCATTATGACTAATCTTTAGCATTATTGTCACTAGCCTCCAACTATTTATGCCTATCGTCTCGATGATCTCAGTCAAGTTATCTTCACCCCACTACGTGTCTTGGACTAAGAGTTGACGACTTCATAGACTGGTGCTATCTCCTTAGTCTGGCCATACTAAACTTTCTTCCAGACGGTCCTACTCCAACCGATAGCTGCTACTCTGAAGCGGTGCATGAGCTTGCATATCAAAATGACCTGCTAAGCTAAACCATCTGGAAAGCTTACCCTCCCAAGTTTCATCCTTCCACAAAGTTTTTCGGATAGAGAAAGGACAGAAACCAACTGCCATAATAGTGTGAACTTCTACACTATGATAACATTTTAAGATAAAAGTTGTACTACTGACCGGGAAGGGTGTGGCAGTAGTAAGGTGTTTCCTACGTATGACCAGCAATAAAAGCTGATACTACCTTTCTTATGAGAATGGAGGTTACCAAAGTTTCTCTACAGACAAAGCACACTTTTCTCTACCCTTAGGATTTCCCGTGTCATCTGTGTGGGCTTTTTCTATCAAAGTCGAGTTATATACTAAAAATCCTAAAAAGGTTGTGAGTGACTGGCTTTAAGCAGATGTCTCATAAGCTCTACGTTAACGCACGCTTTTCGATCTTTTTCAGCTACCCTGCAGAAACAACTTTCATGAAGTCCGCATCCAGAAAGTGTCAACTGCGCGTACGCTACCAGTAGTAAACAAGATCCAATCAAATATAAATTAACAACAGTCTTCCCAATGATAGAGAACTGCGGTGAGTGATGAAAACTGAAGAGACAGAGTAGCCATCATCTTAGTGTAACGTTCGGGGACCAATGGGCTTATTGAGGATACCGCTGCGAAGAAAACAATGATTAGAGAAACTACAACCACAAAGGATGGGACCGTGATAACGTTTCAGGACAAATGTTTGTAACTAACTAGCCCTAGTTTGGCTAACATGGCACTTTGAGTTAGGTTGTTGCTCGGCATGCGCAACACGTCAGAGCTACCTTAGCCGATCAGGGTCCAGAACTTCATCAACTGAGAACCCCTCCTCACCTAGTTTTCTTCGTCATCTGAAGAATGCTTGAATCACTTCCTAAATTTCTTGGTGCTTGTAATTTCCCGCTGTTATACTGGTTGGAACTAATTGACGTCTTTTGGTACATGGGTTGCATTCGGATGTCTCGATATTGCTTGAATGTTCAACCTTATAATATACATGAAGGTGATTAGAAGTGAAATCCAGGGCGTGCATTTCTTCCTATTTGGGTCTCATCACCTGAAACAAAGTGAGTGATGTTGTTCCCACTGCAACCCACATCTCATGCTCAAATCTTCAAATACCAAAGCATTATCCAACAAGTCACTGACGTAAGGAAGCCACCCCTTGTGCTTCAAACAGTGTTTATCATTGCTTCTTGGTGTTTATAATTTCCCGTTGTCATACAGGAGCAGATGGATAGATCTCTATCGGCATATCGAATCGTATGTGGATGCTTCGATACTGCCTGAATGTTCACTGTGATAAATAACCTATAAAACGGTTTGGCATTTGATGCTATGGATATGCAATCTGGGCCTTAGGGGGACCATCGTCCCTCACCTAAGTGCAGGTACATCCCAATTAATATAAGCGTAAAACTTGGGCACTGTGGTAGAATTTAATTCCATATTAGATTAGTTTATTTGGTTTATAACACACAGTGATATAGTATTATTTACTTCATGACGCTTCAAGCATAAATTATTGGTCGTAATCATACCACATTGATATGCTGTAAAGTGCTGCTTGTTACATCAAAAATATGGTATTGTTTATCTTCATTGTAGAGACTCAGGGGTTCTACTATTTGATAAAAATCAATCTGAAACGCGAATCCAGTGAGACATTTTCGCTACGATCATGAAAAGAAGTAATTTCAGATTTGCTATATAATGAAACAGATCACTAAAACCCCTTTTTCGTTTTCTAACACCGGCAAATATCTAGTTCATTTTACTTCAGAAAATAGTATTGCGCTGGTTTTTAAAAAATGATTTTAGATCACTAAAGTGTTTCAGTAAATTCAACTGTATCCGTTTCATCGGGACTGTTCGAATTCCATTTGCTTCACTGGTAAAAATGCGCAGATATGACTTATACTTCAGCTAATGCATCCAAGTTGACTTAAAGTTGAAGTTCTAAATTATATTATTAATATTTGTCCTTTGGGTTCCTAATGGAACATAGGGCTGCGGTAGCACGCCTCCATTCCACTCTCTTCTCTGCAGTCTTCTGAACCTCGCTCCACAACTGCCCACAAGCTTTCATTTCTTCCTCACATGATCTCCTCCATATCACCATCGCCTAGGACGCCCAACTCGTCCCTTCCCATTTGGATTTCACTCAACGGCCTGACGCATGATGTCCCCAATCGGCCTTCTCAGGGTATATCCAATCCATCTCCACTTTCTTCTGCATATTTATTGTGTGATAGTTTCTTAGTTGGTTAGTTGCCCGGTCAGAGTTCGTTGTTGCTAATTCTTATTATTCTGGCCATCTGATCTTCAGTATCGAGTGAACGTAGGAGGCAGCTATAGATGGATGTCTATAGTTTGTTGGAAGTGCTTTTCGTAACGCGCCAAGTCTCTGAACCATCACATTGAAGCACTGGCTTGACTGGCATTAGTGTTGAAAATCCTGATCTTGTTCACGCTTTGTGCTGAGTGCATTCTTGCTTTTCCAATCCTGGCTATGACGTCTTCATCTGTGCCACCTCTAGTTGAAGCAATGCTGCCTAGGTAGGTCTTATTGCGTCCTAATGCAGACCAATGCAACAAATCTACCCTCCTATATATTATTTTTAAATAAATGCTTGATTAGAATAAACTGTACTGATCACTTTCATGATGGAAGGTGTTAGCGGCTAATTTTCTGACATGTATTTGCGTACAACTTCAAAGAAGCAGATGAATTGATATGTGTACACTGAAGTGGTTAGCAGTGATACTTTGTCCTTCCCACAAGTGTGCACGATTGAACGAATAGTATGGGGATTCTCGTAAAGACTGCATAGAATGTCCTTTCAAAATCATTCATCGCTTTGATTTTAAGTAACTCTTCTCCTTCATCTCCGTTGAATTCCAAGCTCAAAACTGCATTTTTCCTACCCAACTTGACAGGAGGCTGATGGGTAGTATTCTGATGTAGATTTTCATCTATGAATCTTTCTGGGTATCCATTTTTAACGAACGTCGATTTCAGAAGTGGAATTTCGTCTTCTAAATTGTTCAGAATACAGAGCTTCCCGATTCTAGAATAAAGGAGACGCACTAAATTTCTTTTCATAGTGATGAAAACCCAGTGATGAAATTTTGTCATTTTTCCATTTTGCAGTGGTTTTCTATGGATGAATCTCTTAAGCGTCCCATATTCTCTTGTTTTTACCATTACGTTGAGGAATGGCATCTTTGAATATGATTCCACTGATTCCATTGGAAGATTGATAGAGAAGTGATATTCATTGAAAAGTTGAAGTAGTTTCTCCAACTCACCGTTGTTGTCACAAACAATGAATGTGGTTTCGACATATCTTCCACTGGATTTAAACTGCCAGTTAAGCGGATTGTGTATAGTTGTTTCCATTTTGTCCATAAATATCTTTTCTAACAGTGGTGACCCCACTGCAAATTAGTTCACAGATCTATAATACAACATTTTATTGATCACTTTCAAAGTATATTTACCAAGCTGATTCACTTAAAGGCACAGCATAATGTGTCCGTTTCAGATTACTGACCAATCCAGGTATCTCGTACAACTAAGAGCATTATAAGTGGGACAGTTTATAGAACAGTACTAATCATAATTGACTTGTTGTTTTTTAACGACTCTATAAAACCTCAAAGAACAATCATAATGTTAAAAATGAAAAATTGTTTTATTGCAAACGCAAACAAAATGTTATTACCAATATGCAATCAAAAATTCTTGTCACAGAAGATTCTAAAAACTTAAACATTTTACAGAAAAAAGCAGACTACTATTTAGTAGTTAAAATATCGTTACAGTATTCGTATCTTTTTTATTGGTGTTAAGTATATTTCACTCATCATAAGTCAGATATTACCATTTATTGACGTGCTTGTAATTATCCGTCACATTATTATATCGAATTGTTCGACCTCTATAGACATATGGGCTCCTATGCGGATGCCTCGATATTGCCTCAGTGTTAATAGTGGTGATTTGTTTGGTTGTGGCTAGCAGAGGAATCCAGAACGAGCGTTTAAGAAAGTAGCAGTTTAGTGCCATTATATGCATATGCTAGTGAAATGAAAAGTCTAATATTGATTGCCTAATGTATTTTATGTGAATTCTCTTATGACCAGTTCACACAATATTTCGGGGAAAAATTACCTCCTGCGATCATACCAACAATTTGGAGCTCTTATTTATTCAAAGATATGTCATTGAATATCATATATTTTGAAAATTACCACAGCCCAACCAGTTCTTGTTAAATGAAGTTTAAGACAAGGTATTCAAAGAAGAAGCTTGAGTTAAAAACAGAAGTTAATAAAAAAGGTAATAACAAGAAGGCAGTTGTACTACTCCGCGAAAAGGTACATGACAGGAAGCTAGAAGAAATCCTGAAAACAGCTAGTCTTTCCATAGTATTAAAATTATTGATTCTTTAAAAAAATAAAACCAACTCAAAGATGCTGTTTATACTGGACAAGAATAATGTGGTGTATAAAACACCGTGTGCCCAGTAAGCTATTTAGGACGAACTTAAAGATTGTTTAACACCAGGCTGGATGAACATCAGAAAATAACTGAATTTTGTTCTAGAGAGGGACGAAAACATGAATTTTTGGATGAGTTCAGCCATAGCAGTTTTATGCATTGGATGAAAACGTAGTATAAATTGGACGAACACTACAGTACTAAAGTTCAATAAAAGGATATGAAAAGAAAGGTTAATAACACAATCTGTATTTATATATGTCCCCCATAACACATGCAACAAAGGTGAATTTGAGCTGCGGTAGGATTGGTATTAGCTACCACTTTTCTTGATACATCGACTTCGTGAACCCATCAGTCCCAGGCATATATCAAAAGTAGCTGTTTCTTTGCATGAAATTCTATCTACTGACTGAATCTTATAAATGTTTTTTGAACCAATTAAACAAAAATATAAGAATTAAATGACTTCAGGGCAAAACTATCTTCAAAGTTCAAATTGTCGTAAAGCTAAAAGCGATTTTCTTAGTTCCGATAAATCGAACTTGAGAGTTATCAATCATATCTAAATATGATTTCATATTTGGTCTGAACTGAATGCCATCTGCATATAAAAATACCTAGACTTGTTTTCATCACACCAGTGGAAGGTTCGGAAACAAGTAAACACATCGAAGCATTCACCTTCAGTATCAACTAATGAAACCAGTAACAACATATTTGGAAGTCGCCGTTGTATTATCACCAATTCTGTCATCAGTCTATTCCAATAAAGAAAATTATAAGTCTTTATCAGGGATAAAAAGATAAAAGGAGTGATTTAATTCAATCTTCTGACGGTTGCTTCGCAAGAGATTATTCAGAATGAAGACAAGTATCGAAATGTACTAGTGAAAATCCTCTCAGGTTGACCCGTACATTTCGTCAACCAGATCATAGTAAATTGAGCACCTGTCGACCGTGTGACCGAGATCATCAAAAGTTTACTCGAATAAATCTAGTTCATACTTTCGAACTGTTTAGACCGTATGAATTTGGCAAGCTGACTTGCATGGACCAGAATACCTGTAGTAAAGTGATCTATTTGAGAATGATTTGAAAGTTATATGGTCCATGTTGGCAGTTAAGTAGGCTCCCAGCTATCTCAGCCAGCCAACCAAGATCATATGTTGTGATCTCTTAGACGGTGGTGTCGTGAACTAAAGAAGTATTCTACTGAAGAAGAAGAAGAAGATGAATAAGAAGAAAATAAGTTCCATTCACTCATACTCAGGGTATTCAACAAATCTGTGGAATTGCTCAAACAACTTAAGGATTACCTCTTGAACTGTTTAATGTTCAAGTCAAAATTAAATATAAGTGGAAAGATAAAATTTAAAGCTATCAACTATTCATCTCTCAAAAATGTTAATTACACATGAATAAGCCACTGGATAGGGGACGACCAAGTGATGTGGAGAGATCTACTTAAGAAGTTAGACTAATTCAATCAGGCCAAATACCCACACTGATTGATTACAGTGAGGTGAATGCTACATCTGACAAGCCAAGTCTGAAGCTAATTAACAGGTGAGTTACTGAAAAATACGCTTAAGGTACACTAGGCAGTAATAAGCTAGTTTAGTTTAAAAAGCATTACAAATGATTTGCGAGTACTTTTCAAGCATTTATGAAACTTAATATTTAATGCATTTTTGAGATGAATGGAGATTTCTAATTTAGAAGTAGTATTCATCATGGACTGACATCACTTGGGGAACCATTGATTATCTGGGAGCACTGGACAACTGTTTCGTTCTAGCACGGGACTCCTCAGCAGTGCGCACCCACGACCCGGCTAGGGATCGGACTCAGGACCTTCAGGTTTCACGTCGAACGCGTTAACCATTCAGCCACTAGGTCGGTTTCCAGTGGTTCACAATTTCCAACTTCTGTCAATTCACGACATAGCATGATTGTCACTCAAGGTCTGCAGCTAGCATTCACTCCACTTCCGACTGGCTGACCCCACAGGTCATGGCTTCTCATTACAGCTTCGTGATATCCATTTGGAAGCAAGTCCAGTGCTCCCGGGTTTTCAATGGTTCCCCAACTGATGTCAGCCCATGATGAATTTTACTTCTTAATATTTAATGTTTATAGAAATTGTTATTCTAGGCTAGGTTATGAAAAGTAATGGTATTTTATCATGGTAACAACATGTTTGACCAGTGCTCAAGCTATAAATCATGTTCACACTAGTTCGGCTTGTCACGCAACATTAGTTAAATACAATCTAGGTTTCCGAATAACGGAGTGCCAATTGATTATTTGCATCACCGTTTTACCGACTATGATTTTTGTCTTTATTTGTATGAAACTCATGGTAATACTCATTAATCATGAGAATAATTTCAAGAACGCTTTCATCAAGGATCCACATCACTTGGACAGCCACCAAAACCCTAACAGTACTACAAAGCTGTTTCAACTCAGTTTGACACTCTTCGCAATGTGCACTCATAAGACAGGTCATTTGAGTGGTAGATGTCCAGATAATTAGGTACTACTTTGAGCATATGATCACTCTTTCATGTTTGCCAGATAAATGTTTCTTACAGCTGTATATTGGGAGTGAACAAATGAACCTACTGTATGTTTCGTCTACCATCAGCAAAAGACAGGAAAGCGTTTTTACCTTACTATTGTTAAATGACAAACAAACACTGGAATGAATGCAAATTAGTACTATTTCACATGAAAAACACTAGAACGTTTATGACGGATACAAATGGTGAAATCTTGAGTGATGATCCATGTTCTAGTGATTCAGTTCCGAATCGACTGAACGAAGTTTAGATGTAGGAGAGAACGATAACGTTTTGTCATCCTTAGGTGTACTGACTAGTCGACAGCAAGATGCATGAATGAAACAATCTGTTTGCAGAAAGCCTACTTGAACAGGACACTAGTGAAAAGGTCACAGTTTCTGTCTGGTTCAGAATAGACGTGTTTCAGTTAGGTGCTTATTTAACTGAACTCAACGAACAAGCACATCCACTATATTGTTAGGCCAGAAGAGATTATTTATGGGGACATTGATTGGGAACAACTACTCAATGAATAAAACTAATCGAACATTGAGAAGTTATGTTTACTTTGCCCTAAGAAGGAGGTATTCATCAAGCTACCATACACTGGTGATGTGAATAGCTTAGTAATCAAACAGTGACTTGAGGCAGCCATTAACATAACATGTTATGCAGCTTAGGTTTGGATAATTGAGAATTCGCAGCTTATGTACCCACTGAAGCTCTTAAACAGGTGGAAGATGAATTCATATCATATGGTGTTTACTAGTTTAAATGTATCAGCGGTCAGAAAACACAAGGCTGACTCACGGGTCATTGAAAATAAAGGCTACATAACATATTTCAAATTCGCTTCAGAAAAAAATAGCCGTCTCACGAAATTGATGCTTAAAATGAACTTCAGTGATCTACAATACTTGAAGATACTGAAACTAGGCATGAGATGCATATACAACCATCATTTATGCCCATTGCTAAGTCCCACTCATGAGGTATTTTAAAATTTGTTGAAACATTAGTCATAAGGTAACCTCCCCTAGTTTACTATTTCATCCTACTATTTCATCCTATGCCAGAAAAAAGGAAAGGTTGGGCATAGGGCTAGCAACCCTACACCGTAAAACCAATCCAACCGCTACAGAAACTTCAAAGCCCAAAGAAAATATAAAAAAATTAAAATAAACTTATTCCACGCTGGAATCGCGGAGACGAAATGACGCCCGTCGGTGAAAGACTTAGGGAAGCCAATTGGCACATTTGTCCCCTCTTCTCTTGATAGAATATCCGCACAATGCTTCAAGCCGGCTGACAAGGATGCCCAGATGACAAAACAGATGAGAAGGTATAGCAGAGGAGCGGTAAGAATCTGTGAAAGCAGATGGAATGGAGGGAGACTCTCCAAACTGTCAACTTGAGAGTCAATAATCTACTCCAATATTGTCACTCAGAAGACAACCACGAACACACTAGGTTTTGAAGTGGCTATCACGACGTCCCCAAGAGCATGAAAGGTTCTCTCTCATGCAGTGTGAGCCAGTATCCTACTTTGGGATTATGACAGCAAGATTAAAATCAAAAAGTAGGGCAGTTACCACCATAAAATGTTACCCGACACACCTACAAATACGACAGAGAAGGAGGAGAAATTCTACAGACAACTGCAATCAGTAATAGAAAAGACTGCAGTTAGTGCCATCAAAATTCCGACGGGTGAAATGAATGCCAAACTGGAAGCAGACAACACTGGAAGAGAACCAATCATGGGTGGAGAGGTATACAGTGAACTGAAAGAGAAAGGAGAAGTGTTTGCAGATATCTGCACATTCAACGATTTGGTGATTGGAGGCAGCGTATATAAACACAATGATATTTACAAAGCGACATAGATTTCACCAAATGGACACACCAAAATTCAGATCGACTTCATCTCAATGTGAAGAAAGTTGAGACGGAGCCAGCCTACTGAACACAAGATCAGATCAGATGAAGAAGGAGAGCAGATGTAGATTCACACCACTGACTGTCTGGTGCAATGAACCTACATTCAAAATCAAGTTGGAGACCTTCATAGAAGCTGGTGATAGACGACCACCGCTCAAGTTGAACACCCAAGTTGAACAGAAACTGATGGACAAAACTACAAAGGACATCGCGTCAGTCATCAGAACAAAATGGGAGACATTGTGCAACATCCCTGAAGGAACCTGTGTGGAAGAACACTGGAACTCTTTGAAAGCTACGTGAAAGGAAACCTACATAACCGTATTAGAAGGAAGAAGAAAGAAGACAAGGAATGGATCTTGATGGACACATGCAAGTTGGCAGAGTAGGGAGAGGAGGATGGTGAAGCAGAAGATGAAGCAGTACAAGGATGCTCAACGAAAAGAAGAACTGAACATAACCTACAAAACACTGGACAAAGAAGTGAAGAAGAGTGTGCGCACAGACAAAAGACACCTGTATGACACACTGGCAAGTGAAGCAGAACAGGCTGCAGTCTGCAGGTGGGAGAGACCTGACAACATTGTATCAAATAACCAGGTTACTATCTGGTGAGAGATCAATGCAGATGAGACCAATGAAAGATAGTGGAGGAAAGCTGGTTACCAAAGAGTAGGAAGAAAGTAAACGAAGGACTGACTACTTCAAAAAGCTGTTGAATCGATCATCACAAACACTACCTGCAACTCGTCCAGAACTACCACCAGCAGCCACTGTACAGTGAGCGAACACAAGCCTCCCCGAGCAAGCCGTACTCCTGAACGCTGTAATGCTGCTGATGTCTGGGAAAGCATCTGGAGCAGATGGAATTTCTCCAGAAGCGCTGATGACAGACTCAGATATAGCAGCGGACATGCTCGCACCACCACTGCACAAGGTTTGTAGGGAAGGAAGGAAGGAAAGGTACCTGCCCACTGACCGGAAGAAGGGCTACCTTGTCCAACTCACAAAGAAGGGAGACCTAAGCCTTTGCAAGAACAAGAAGTAGTGCGGAATCGTGCTCCTGTTTACCCAAAGCAAGCAAAATATTATGCCGCATCATCCTGGAGAAGCTAACAGGTGCTCTGGATTCAAAATACGACCGGAACAGGCTGGCTGGCTGGCTGGCTGGCTGGTTTCAGGAAGAACAAATCATGTGCAGATCAAATTGCAACGCTACGCTACATATCATCATAGAACAGAGCATAGAATGGCAGTCAACTGGATCTCCACCTCAACTTCATCGATTTTGAAAGGCTGATGATAGCGTCGACTGAGAAGTAATTTGACAGTTGCTTCAACAGTATGGTTTTAGCGCCTTAAACATCTATCAACCTCAATCAACGGCAGTTATATGAGGATGCCATATGCCAAGTGATCCACAATGGAAAGCTCAGTGACGCCTTTGAAGTGAAGACAGGAGTTTGACAAGGCTGCCAACTATCGCCGATGATATTGCTTAGTGTGGTCGAATGGATCATGCGGCAAACCTTGAGGAGCGAAAAGAGGGGCATAAGCCGTTCGACCGATGAAAAAAGCCTAGAACATTTAGATTTCACCCATAATGATTTATGTCTAATGTCACACAAACTCGAATATGTACAGGCAAAAACTAACGAGTCGACAGAAGAGGCAGAGCAGCGAAAACGGGACTTCAAATGAATGTAGAGAAGACGGAGGTGATGAGGATACCCAACCAACAACAACAGTAACAATAAGCACCAATCACCATTAACGGGAGAAACCTAAAGGAAGTAGTCTCTCTCACTTACCTAGGCAGCATCGTTTCAACTAGAGGTGGCACAGATGAAGACGTCATAGCCAGGATTGGAAAAGCAAGACAGGCTTTCATTAATCTGAAAGCAGTGTGGAGATCTACTGCACTCAGCACAAAGCGTGAACAAGATCAGGATTTTCAACACTAATGCCAGTCAAGCCAGTGCTTCAATGTGATGGTTCAGAGACTTGGCGCGTTACGAAAAGCACTTCCAACAAACTATAGACATCCATCTATAGCTGCCTCCTACGTTCACTCGATACTGAAGATCAGATGGCCAGAATAATAAGAATTAGCAACAACGAACTCTGACCGGGCAACTAACCAACTAAGAAACTATCACACAATAAATATGCAGAAGAAAGTGAGATGGATTGGATATACCCTGAGAAGGCCGATTGGGGACATCATGCGTCAGGCCGTTGAGTGAAATCCAAATGGGAAGGGACGAGTTGGGCGTCCTAGGCGATGGTGATATGGAGGAGATCATGTGAGGAAGAAATGAAAGCTTGTGGGCAGTTGTGGAGCGAGATTCAGAAGACTGCAGAGAAGAGAGTGGAATGGAGGCGTGCTACTGCAGCCCTATGTTCTACTAGGAGACCAAAGTAGAATAAACAGTTATAACGATACACATCATTTGCTAATGCAGGAGCTTTCAGTTAGTGGCATATGCATTAAAATTGTATGCACAGAATTTTTGAACGCCTATCAGAGGACCAGGCCTAATATTTCAGGTATCTGGCTATACTTCTTCATGAAGTGCCCAAGGTGGATTATCCTGCTAAAGCTGCTCGCATTGCACACCTATCGCCCAAAATATCAACCCACCTGTCACCTCATTTAGTTAGGTGCCACACTGGCTTTTCACCCAATACTGCTTTTATTGGTGGAAGCAGACAAATGTCCAGGTCCAGGAGCCGATCAATGACTGCTTTTGAATTACCATTTCACAGCCATGAATGCTGATAAGATCTTCAGTTACTTGAGTGTTAGATAGCGACCGCTAATGCAGTCACCAGGGTGAACCTCATCAATTACCAGCAACTCATTGCATATATATAAGCAAGCACGTCGGCCAATTCGATCCTACTTGGAGAAGACAGCTGGTAAATAATGCTATGTGTTCATCATACGTTGCACACGCTTTGTACTTTCCTTTCGCCAGTCAAATTACCGTACAGGAGCCAAGAAAAAACAGGTTTGGTATATCGCAGTATTTATTAGCATTTAATTTTCTCCACCACTGCCCAGGCAAAATTAGTTTCTTCACTTCGAAACCCTAGCACTGGATGGCTAGATAGTGATTCAGTCTGCAGGTTGATATCTGCTCATTAGAGGGAACCACGTAAATATTCACTGTCATGCACTTAAAGTCCTGAGTCTCATAAATACCTTAATCATAGAATACGGCTTAAATGTGTAACGTCAATAATGCTTTTTGGCGGTGACTCGAAATACCATAACTAATAGAATCACCAGCATGCATGCTAGCCAACCAAGAATAACTAAAGGTGCACCGTTAGCTAGACTTTTGGCTAACAGGCTAAAATACCTGCGTCACTAATTAGATGATGAGGCAATGACCTTACCTTTTTTAAAGATTGAAACTGTCCATCATTCTGAGGCTATCTATTCTTCGATACTGCAAATGGATTTTTCCAACTAATTAGTACTTTGGCTAAAAATGCTTCACTATTTCCCATTCTTAATTTATTTCGAATTTTACTTGATAACTACTCACATTCTTTGGATGGGAAACAGGATTTCACTTGCAGCTTTCTTTCAAGATATAGTTATTGACCTTTAGTTGTAGAAATCAAGATAAACACCTATAATGGAATATAAGTGAAAAACTTGGGCACTGTGGTAGAATGTAATTCCATATTAGATTTGTTTATTTGATATAAAGCGCACAGTGATACAGTATTATTTACTTGACCAATCAAGTAAATAATACTGTATCACTGTGCGCTTTATATCAAATAAACAAATCTAATATGGAATTACCTATAATGGAAATCATGTTATTCTACATACCATTGTCTAATGTCAGCCTCTTCACAATATTTTCCACGCCAGCCAAATTCACATGAACAAATAAAATTGTCATTATCTGCACTAGGAATACAAGTTCCTCTATTTTGACAAATAACCTGTAACATAAATAACGAAGCAAGAATATGATGACAGAGTTCCGCAAAAAAATATGTGTTCGCTTGATTATTTTCATCAAAGCAAAAGGTTGGAAATTCACAGAATAAAGTTCGTGCATTTCTTTAATCTGATGGTCTCTCCTCAGACGCACATAGGTTAGAACAAATACAGAAGCTGATATATCCGTAGTTATATATTCATGAGTAAGAAAACATTTGAACAATCTTCTATAGGCCTTTCCGGAAAAGCGTAGCATATTGATTTCGCCTCTTAAGTCAATCAAGTATTTTTACGTAGATTCACCTGCATTTTCCCGCAAGTTTGAAGCGACATGATCGGAAGGCTTCAAGGATCTAGGGCTTTTCATGACGATCTGAGCAATTTTATCGCACATTATAGCAGAAATATACTATTGTGTTAGAACAAAGTAGCCATCTACACTGTGAAATATAGATACGCTAGGAAAAATCAGTTGAAAAATGTTTGCATTAACAATAATGGTGGTAAATGTTGTTTATTAACAGGCAATTGAGAAAAAGATCCTAGAGTTTTAAATGTCAGTGTAAGAAATAGTATCTTTTTAAACAAATGCATAGTAAGATAATCATCACAAAGATAACAGAATCGTAATACATGGTACTTCTCCGCTTTAGACTGACACATGAGCAGTCAGACACTATAAAGAAAAACTGCCTTTGCTGCCGGATTAGTTCTAGCAAGAGAGACCCCTATACTGCTTCTTATCCTTTCTGAAGCGTCATTTTCTTCAGATACAAAGCCAATAAAGACAAGCTTTTTCTGAACTTCACCTATGCCTTTTTGCTAGTAGCATACTCTCGAATACTTCTCCGAAGGATGAAAGCCTTAAGGTATCAATGAAATCTAACCATATCTTTTGCTGATCGCATCCGATTATTTTTCATCTGAGATGTGTTAAAGTGGGATGTTTTGTCAGTCTGCCTCTGCTTTTCAGAAACATCCTGATTGGTAATGTTTATCAGCAAGTCGCATAGACAGAAAGTAACGCTCAAACCCCTAAAAGATCGTCTCTCCTCTGTAACGGAAAAGATGTTCTGTATGAATTTAAATTTTGGAGATGGTCTACCGGCTGATACTTTTAAGAAAAGGATAATAATTCTGCATCAACTATGAGATTAGTATGCACAGATCGGCCATTATTCACTGACAACTAGAAGGACACAGTATCACACCTGACTTATTACTGAAATATATTTTGGAATACAAGCGTAAAGAATCATTAGGTGTTATCGTTGAAAACAAAGTTGATTGATAGAGTCTTTCTAATTTAGATAGTGTGTGAAATGTCGAAGAGTTTTAGACAGCTGTTTTGTTATCAAGTCGGTATTTGTGATGGAGTGACATACATCGGTTGGAGAACAACTGAAGACATAGAAGCTCTGAACAGATGTTTCGTCGCAGCATACGAATCTTCAACATTGCACACCCCCACTGAAAATCAAACCAAGAACCCTCAAGTTCCGAGACATACACCTTACCATTGCGCCATTGGGTAGGAATACGTTTTTATTCTTCTGTCCATCTGCAATATAGTGTGAGATTATTCCTATGTCATTGCTAAGTGTTTTTCTTCAAATTTTACTGCATCGCAGTCTGAGCACTTCATTTCATAAACACACTTAGATTAGGGGCAAAACAATTTTGCGCTTCATATGAACAAGGTGCTCTGCGATGTGTTTGGTATTGTGTAGAACATTCGGATATTGCATTTACTGACCACTCTCTCAATTCCATTCAAAATCTGTGATATGTATGTAGTGACTACTGTTGATGACAATGATTTAATAGTAATTTTACAATCTAATTGAATAATACTTTTTATTTTGTGAATTAATTTCACCGAATATTTATTAATTTAACTTATCTTGTTCAAATATTTTAATTACCTATCTCTTTCCTTTCCTCCGTTCACGTAGCATGTGCTTCACTTAGAAGTCTGAAGGTAACAAAAACTATCACTGTGATTAGATGTAATGAATTTAAATCTACATATTTAATCGAAAGCGTTACTTTCCTTAAAATGGCTACACCTAAATATTCATCTTCTCTCCGATTAACAAGAAAATCAAAGAAGGGTAGTTCCTTATTATGTCTCCTTTTCTGAGCTGAATTTAACACTGGGTGAATTATGGTTCAACTGATTTAAGAATGCCTGGTATAAGCCACGTTTTAAAATTACGAATGTATCACCAACATATCTCAGCCAGATTTTTCGCTCTAGCCAGTGATACACCACCACCACCATCTTGTAGTACTCTGCTTGGGAAAATAGAAACACCCAACTAATTGTAATTTATTTAGCATTGATCCCGATTGAGTGTAATGATAAATCTTAATCATTTTTAGATATCATTTAATAATTGTTGGTTGTAAAGGATCAGAGATAAAATGAATTTATTTCATTTACCAAACACTTATCAACCATCGAAATAGTTCCATTCTATCATAAGAAATGTACAGACGACATCAGCGAAGAAAGTTTACTTTTCTTTCTCTTAAGTGAATTCAATTTACCCCGGAACCTGAAAATGATTCAGAACTTGAATTTCAAGACCTTCTTTTATGGAAAAGAAACGATGGTCCCTCAAGATTGTCGATTTAAAAGCAATAAGCCTGAAATGAGGAATTTACCAAACTTCAAAATGTGTCCCACTATGCGAGAAAAGAAATCTAATTGATTCACCTTGTACAACATACATCAGTCCATGCCTGGTCTGTGTGCTTGAAAGAGATACATCGAATCTCTAATTTTATCTTGGTCACAATCTTTTAAAGACAGTTTATTCATTTATTTATGATTTGTTCATGCATTCATTCTACTTTATGTATCAGCATTGTAATTTCCACACACTTTCAGTACTCCACAGTTGTTGATTTCCGTAGGACTGTTCCAGTCACTCTTCTTATCCGTCCAATTGCTCATTAGAATACCTAATCACCTTGTGAATACCATGTTGACCTTTCAGCTATAATCAGCTGTAACTCTGCTAGCGATTTTCGATGATATTGTATTCACTATTTGCCGATGATATTTGTTGTGAGTATTAATACGAAAGTAGAGCTTCAGGAAATGAATCATAGAAAAGAAAATTTTTTCTCAGAATTATCGTTTACTTAAAAATTTGTCAGGCAAACTAAATGAAACATATAATTTCACCTTAAATTGATGTCAGCGGCATTACATAGACTGCCTATTCAGTACATTTAGCAATTTTCCGCCAGTATTATTGGCCTCGTAAACTTAAAAATATTTTTTCTTCTAATTCAAGAAAAGTCTGTGTTATGTTCCACTTCTAAGTCTTGAATTTTTCATAACAATTATCTTTGAAGTACTTACATACCGTTACCTGTGACACTTTATGAGAAAACATTAAAAGCTATACATAAAAAGCTATGCATAAAAAATAGCCAACAGATGACCCAAATAATTTTATTTCCTGTTAGTTATAAACGTGCGACATTCATAAGCATGCCAGTGATGAAAAAAATCCTTGTGAAAAAGTTGCTAGCGGGATGATGAAAATAATTTGACGAACCAACTATTCTATTTATTCAAATTAGAAACATAAACAACATTATTATTTGTTGTGGATAGAACTGATCAACGTTTGTTGGCATATCGGCTTCATAAACGGATGGCTAAATATTCGCACAAACTCCAAGATCTATAGGCGAAAACAGAAGAGGCAGGGCAGTGAAAACGGGACTTCAAATGAATGTAGAGAAGACGGAGGTGATGAGGATACCCAACCAACAACAACAGTAACAATAAGCACCAATCACCATTAACGGGAGAAACCTAAAGGAAGTAGTCTCTCTCACTTACCTAGGCAGCATCGTTTCAACTAGAGGTGGCACAGATGAAGACGTCATAGCCAGGATTGGAAAAGCAAGACAGGCTTTCATTAATCTGAAAGCAGTGTGGAGATCTACTGCACTCAGCACAAAGCGTGAACAAGATCAGGATTTTCAACACTAATGCCAGTCAAGCCAGTGCTTCAATGTGATGGTTCAGAGACTTGGCGCGTTACGAAAAGCACTTCCAACAAACTATAGACATCCATCTATAGCTGCCTCCTACGTTCACTCGATACTGAAGATCAGATGGCCAGAATAATAAGAATTAGCAACAAGAAACTTGACCGGTTAAATGAACCAACCAAGAACGTATCACCCGACAACTATGCAGAAGAAAATGGATATGAATTGGACTAGGCGTACACTGAGAAGGCCGATTGGGGACATCACGCACCAGGCCAGGCTCTCAAGTGGGATGCAAATGGGAAGGGACGAGTTGGGCGTCCGAGGCGATGGTGACATGGAGGAGTTCATGTGAGGAAGAAATGAAATCTTGTGGAGAGTTTTGGAGCGATGTTGAAAAAACTGCAGAGAAGAGAGTGGAATGGAGGCGTGCCACTGAAGCCCTGAGTTCCACTAGGAACCCAAGGGAAAAGTAGTGATAATAATTTTATTGTGATAATTGACTTGGTTAGTGTCTTGATTAGGTAGAAACACGCGTCATCGATTCCATTTGGGGCCACAACAAAGCTAACTAGAGAGAACATTATTTACATAAGCAATTTCTCTCCATCACCTGAACGTTGGTTTACGTAAAACAGACTTGTTGTAAAATGAGCAAATACAGATTTCGAAACGTAATCTAGATAGATCTAAATAAATAAGGAAAACATGTTGCATTGTTTCATGCATTCCGCAAGAGATTAGGACAGAACAAAGCAGAAGTTGAGAGATGTAATGATGTCAAAGAAACATCACTGATATGATGTTGGAATTTTAACTAAAGAAAAAAGTGAGTCAGTACGTTTATCTACTTTCTCATACACTGTAGGCAGTTATTATCTTCTTTGTCTAAGATGAAACGTGGCTGGTCCTATCATTCAACATCTTATTTTTCATTTTGGCGTAACCAGCCCATTTTTCTACTAAAGTGGTATTAAACAAGTTCAAATTATTTTTGTTAACAGATTCGAAATATTGTACTGATGTGAATACTTACAAATAGATTGGCCTAGGTAACAGTGGAGACAGTGTATTCGATATTGTACACTCATTCATTTGTGTCTCTGATTTTCTTCAGCACAAATGATTGTATTCTGTCTCTTATGAAAGCCAATATATTTCTTCTCAACCATAACTGCATTGTTTTGACCAACATAAGGCAACAGGCAGCACACTGAATTTACCATTAATATCCATTACAAACACATTTTAATCAACATAATTTTCTCCACAATGCACAAATATTTTGTGGATATAACATACTGAAAGTCAGCGAAAAACTTAGGCAAATAGAAGAAATAAATAATTGATACTGCAACTTGGTTTGAGACTTACGGAGATTACATTTAGTATTCATTTCATGGTAGTATTCACAACAAACTGATACCGGTTAGAAAACCGTTAAAAACTGAGGGTCGGACTGTTGTTTTGTTCTAGTATGGTGCTCTTTGGCATCGCATACACACAATGCCCTCTCACCAGATACCCACCTTAAGACCTTTAAGTCTCGTGGTGAACTTTGTAACCCTTTAGCCAGTGAGTCACAGTTCAGTGGTCCACAGTTTGCCATTTTTTTCAGTCTGTGGTATAGCGTGGCTATTCTACCAAGGTCGTCAGTTGGCAACCGGTTAACTCCTGACTGGTTGACTCCACAGGTTATGTCATCTCATTAGAACTTTGGGGTCTCTATTTCGAAGCATGTCAAACACAAGTACTATAGAGTAAATTAGTTTGGGACTTTCGGGGATTTATTTATTTCATCATGGACGATTTTTATAGGTTCTGCAACTGATATCAGTCTATGATGAATACTACCTTGACATCATAATTAACAAGTGAAAATCTTTGACTTACACTATTACAAACACTTTTATGTTCATAACAATTGAAAAATGAATATTTCAGTGAATGTTCATACTCTCCATTACACGTACATGTATAATAATTGGTACCATTCACTGGATTACATTTATTTCCCAAATAGGTACGACATGCTTCATTGCCTGACATGTGACCAGGTAAAATATTCTAAAATAACAAAACCATAAACTCACTGTAGACGAGTACGTATGAATACGAAGACAAAATATGAAATGTCAACGAGGCTATTTATTAGTCAGATGCTTACCTGTAAGCATAACCATGTCAAATTAAGCCTGTTATCCAGTGGCAGTTCAAGCAACTGAAACTGTCAGAAACTATGAAAAATAAAAAGTCTCTTAAAACTATTGCTTAAATTTCTAGTAGAGTTGAGAAACCCATAAAGGTTATCTTCATTGTAAAATGAACTGATTTATTATAAATAATTTGAAACAGTTGGTCATTTTTATGAGTTTGGATAACGCAGTTAGAAGAAGACAAAGATTATCTGAAAAATGTGATGTATTTGGGCTTCGACATTTCAAACAATCTGATCAAATTTTTGCTTGTTTGTGGCTAGCGCTTCAATAAATCTAAGTATGCGCCTCTGAAAGTTTCCATACAAATTGTAAATGCTCTTTTAATATCAATCCCGTGACTCATATCAGTATGCTGTGCAATGGATGGTAATGGTTGTCTGCCACCTGAGCTTACCCATGTTTATGAATCCAGGTGCTTTTGTAGCCATTTCGGTGCATGAAACCCTACCCCCCCTATCACGACTAGTCCTCCCTATGTATGTTTGTCCACGCACACACATGTAAATTTATAAACGTAGTGGGATTTGACCCAACTGTTTATACAGCGTCAAGCTTCATGTTGCAGTAGTTGTTTAGTCTTCTCAACTACGATAAGCTTAGCTGCACAGTACGCTTTGCTAATGGCAGGATTTAACCTTTGTTTACACCTCGCCTGTTTAAATAGTTCACTAGCTACTAGCCGGCCCTAAGCCAGGGTTAAGAGGGAAAGTTGGGCATTGGGCTAGCAACCGTACCACAGGAGACCGATCCAACCGCTACAAAAACTTCAAAGCACAGACAAAATATGAAAAATAAAAACAAAATCATTCCCCGCTGGAATAGGAGTAACGAAATGACGCCCGTTGGTGAAAGCCTTCGGGAAGCCAATTGGCCAATGCGTCTTCTCTCGATGAAAGCAAAAGTAAGGATGGAGACATAGAATGTCCGCAACATGTAAGAACCTACCATGGCTGGCCCGATTGCGAAAGAGATGAGGAGGTATGGCATGGAAGTGCTAGAAATCTGCGAAAGCAGATGGAATGGAAGTGGAATCTCCAAACTCTTAACTGGAGAGTCAATAATCTACTCCTATATTGTCACCCAGACGACAACCATGAACGCACTGAGTTGTGGAGTGGCTATCATGATGCTTCCAAGAGCATCGAAGGGTCTCATGCAGTGGGAACCAGTCTTCTGCAGGATCAAGACAGGGAGATTCAACTCAAAAGGAAGGAAAGTCACAATATCGGGGCATCCGCATAGGAGCCCATATGCCAATAGAGGTCAAACAATTCGATCCAACAAAACAACAAAGAATAACGATTATGTCAATAAATAATAACCTTTGTTTAAATATTATGCTGTTAGATTCTCCTTTGTATGGTAACGCGGTGTAGAGGCATTTTTCCGAAATAGACTGCAGACCAAGTTTCAAGGGTGGCTGATTTTGCAACGGTTTATGAACTTCAATGTATATTCATTTTCCGATAATGTTTCAGTAAGTACTTTAATTCCATCATCCACTGAGTCTTCCGTACGGTTACTTTGGATTATTTTTAAATAGGCATGTTGCCAAACCTCGCTTGTATTATGTTGGACAAAAGCTACGGAAACTTAAGTACTGACCTGTTCACTTGAGTTTCCTGTAAATCGACCTTTCTATAAATAAAACCAATGCTTGGACACAACGTTTGGATATTTAAGCTTTCGTAATTTCCTGAGCAAACTTCAGTTTTTGATAATGTCATTAAACAACAGGCTATATATATATATATATATATATATATATATATATATATATATATATATACATATATATATATATACATATATATATGTATATATGTATATATATATATATCACATCTTTGTCCGCCAGTTAACTTCAGTGTGCAGAAAAAACGTCCTACGAAATGGTATAAAATGCATTGGTGAAGATGGATTGAGTTATTAATCTTTCCATAGATTCAAATTAAATTTCAGTATGTTAGCATTGTTCCAGGCAATAGCATCTTTTTCTTGCGATGGTTTCCTTAGATTTGCTGCGCTCTGACCTTCAACGCTGACCAATGGCCAGTCTTTGTTATCTATTTACTACAAAGATGAACCACTGGTTCAAATAAGTAATACGATAGTTAATAGATGGTATTTTATTGGTCGAATTGCTTTTGCTAAAATTGTTTATAGGATCGCCCTGACCTGGTTTGATTTGTCTTTTTTGGCATCTATTAGTTCAAAATTGGGATGGATACCCACTTTTCTAAGATTTCTTCTGATCGTTTCTGACATACCTTACAAGGTGAAATACTATTACAGTCTAAAGTTTATTTTTTTACTGATCTTTGTTAGTATTTTCTCTTCCATCTCTATAGCATTATCAGCATTCTGGATTCAATATTCATGAATTCATTTTAGACTTAAGAGCTTGCTATGAGACTACTTACTATGTTGACAAGCTGCTACATAACCTTTTAACTCACTTAGACTGAATGAGCTGAGTGATACTCCAGGATCTTTCTTAATAGGTTCCTCCTTTATAAATAGGTATTTGTAAACTCCCATACTTCACTTTTGTGATAAAAAGAAAGGTTCGTAAATAAATCCGTACTCATACGTTTATACTGAATACTTACGGCAAGCGTGATTCGGCTGGAAACGTTTAACTGCCTCAATTAGAAAATTAATAACAATTATCATATGTACAATTCTTACCTGAGTTCCTAGAGTATTGACTTAAACCAGTTTAGCTATAAACAATAGTATTATTTTTGAGACGAATGGAGATTTCTAATTTAGAAGTAGTATTCATCATGGACTGACATCACTTGGGGAACCATTGATTATCTGGGAGCACTGGACAACTGTTTCGTTCTAGCACGGGACTCCTCAGCAGTGCGCACCCACGACCCGGCTAGGGATCGGACTCAGGACCTTCAGGTTTCACGTCGAACGCGTTAACCATTCAGCCACTAGGTCGGTTTCCAGTGGTTCACAATTTCCAACTTCTGTCAATTCACGACATAGCATGATTGTCACTCAAGGTCTGCAGCTAGCATTCACTCCACTTCCGACTGGCTGACCCCACAGGTCATGGCTTCTCATTACAGCTTCGTGATATCCATTTGGAAGCAAGTCCAGTGCTCCCGGGTTTTCAATGGTTCCCCAACTGATGTCAGTCCATAATGAATACTACTTCTAAATAGTATTATTGATGTTTAGTGCTTCAGTCACTCAGCATTGAGCCTCTTGAGTTCGATTATTTATTGCTTCACAGTCTTTACATCCTTATGTAAACATGGACAATTTGTCCAGTGAGTAGTCCTGTTTCCCTGTGTGACAGTTCTAAGAAACAGACTAAAAAAGAATAACAATCTATTATGGTGCCAACAAACATTTAGAAAGTATAGTTCAAATTAACAAAGAATTTCAAAATCTCAGCACTAAATAACATAATTGATGAGAAACAATGCTTAATACGTCCTAGAATTCAGTCATCAAATGACATATACTTTCTAATTTCCTTCTGTGTTTACTCATTTAAATGTTATGGTTAACTCTCGGTAGAAAGAATGACTTCACTTATGTAAAAACAGGCATTACTGTTTATTGTTGACAGTTGTCAGATATCTTGATATCTTTTGAAATAGTCAGAAAGATAGATTTCAATTAAACTTTGGACAGATCTCGGCCAGTTTGAGCTCCCACACTTCAATAGACTAGGCAAATTAGAAAAAGGAATTGAAAAAAACCCAGACCGCTATGAAAATTTTAAAAGAAGTAGATGACAGTAGATAAAATAAATAAATGATAGTTAGTGAAATGCATGTCGGTTGTGTTAGTATGTGGAGGTAGGTTCTGACCAAGAAAAACTACTTCTTATTCCTTCCATTTGATTTCAATGTATGTGAGACTCTTCTGAGACATTCTCTATAAATTCTAAACCCTTTTGAATAAGTTGGATATTGTTAAAATCAACCTTGTGACATGAAATCATAGTGTGTAGACATGTGGCTGAAGCGTTCCCCAAAATTTTAATCTGTAATGGATTTTTAGGGGATTTGGTGGAAGCACTTTAGTGTTTATTTATTTTGCTTTTGATTTCACTGCAAGTTTGCCCTGGGTATACTGTATCGTAGTCTGAGTACTTTATTTCATAAATACACTTAGATTAGGGGCAAAACAATTTTGCGCTTCATATGAACAAGGTGCTCTGCGATGTGTTTTGGTATTGTGTAGAACATTCGGATATTGCATTTACTGACCACTCTCTCAATTCCATTCAAAATCTGTGATATGTATGGGGTGACTACTGTTGATGACAATGATTTAATAGTAATTTTACAATCTAATTGAATATTATTTTCTGTTTTCCGAATGAAAAAACATGTAACAAGAAGTATCAACACATGAGTATACACAAATCTCAAGCTGTAATTCAAACAAACTCCACACAGTACGCAACATTTGATCACCAACTTTGTTTAGCAGTTTGACGTCGTAAAGCCATTAATGCAGAAAATACCTATAGTCAAATTATGAAATATAAGCTTGGTGCTTTAAATTCTGGTTCAATACCACTTTGATACAACTTTAAGAATCAAATACTGAAACTTTGATCAAAATAAATTCATTTTGTTTAGCATTCCATCAGAAATCCAAATACGGAAATGGATGATATCATTTATTCAATGAACAAATTTTTTCAAACCGTAAAACTCGAACTTAGTTTGGTTATAGGTATCCAAACCAAGTTGGGACTTGATAGTTAGACAAAAATTAGGCACTGGGTAAACGATATTCATTATTTTGGTTTTTTTCCCAATGAATGTAATGCAAAAAGAAATTTGTTTCGACTGACATTTCACTATT